CTCACAAGTTCGTCTATCTTCTTTGAAGGAACACACAACGGCAAGATCAGAACAAGTTAAAAAGTCCCAGCTCAAGTCAGAAGTAGTTATAGGGCGATATTTGAGGCTAGGGATTAGAAAGAGGGCCAGGACTAAAAGAGAAGTGACCACACAACCGATTCGACCAAAATTTTCTCAATTAATTGACTTCCTTTGCCTCTGAAAAGTTTTATCTAGTTGCTAAGGCTGGCAAGCCTCACTGACGCGTCTATTACTGTTCTGGCACAACGTCTGGGAATGTATGAATTCTACGGTCAGACGCTGGAAATTATGATGACTGTAGCAGTAATCTTTTGACAAGGGGCTTCCAAATAAGTCTACCTGATAACACGACCAAGTTACGCAAATAAGCTAGACCCACTTCTAAAGCCAAGTTATATTGATTCCCTATAAACATCTCTGCCTAACCTAGCATCTTTTCTAATAACCATAATATCCAAAAATGTTAATCTCTTATTCCCTTCTAATTTCTTTGTAAACTCTTGCATTAATTGCCCCTCAACTTTTGCCAGGTATTTATTGGCTAAATTTGGAGATAAGCGAGAACCCATTTCGGGTCTTCGTCTGCACATATAACTCTCCCTCAAAGGTGAAATAAGTTTCACCCATGGATAGGTTAAGGGCCCTTAGAATCGAGGCTATACTTAACTTAATTTCCTCAATCTCCAAGCGTTCATCATGTGTGAGCATTGTAGCCTGTATTTTCCCCACTGAAGGTCATCGATACTGACGTACCTATGAAGCATATGAGTCATGCTTAACTGGGATAGAATTTCATCGTCTAGACATAATAAGTTAAATGCTTGAACCTAATGCCCACATCTCGTAACAATGTTGGGCCGATTATACAAATGAATAAAACCTTGGAATCGTAGAGCAATTGATTTCAATGCAAATCATATCTTTACATCAATTAATTGATGGCATAGACACTGTTAGTCCTATAGCATCATATGAAAATGATATAAGTAGGCCTTACGATGCCCTTGAATTTCGATTGGCCTTTCTTCCTTCATGTTATTCCTCTCCTGAGCAGATTACACTTTCGACCTTGCCTGGGTCTCCTCAGCACCTCCAACAGCAATGCAACCCGGATAGTGTAGCTTATATTCTTTACCTATTACCTTTAAATCACAGAGTCATGAATTGCAGGAGGTCCCAGAGAGGCTTATCTTTCTACGCAAGCCAGACCTCTCCATCACAATACTCGTATTGCAGTGACCTATTTTATATGAATATGATCTAATAATAGTTTAATTACCAAATTGAAAGTAAATATTGGAGCCTGTATTTCATATTTATTTAATGCATCTCGAAAAGTTTTTTGTCTTTGTCACAATTTAATTTACCTATTTGAAAATTCTTTTCTTATGATCCACCAAGCTTGAACATTTGCAAGATTTTCCACTTTCCAACGTATTCAGCTAAGATTCCCTAGGGTTTTTAACTAGAATGTGAGTTGAATTTAAGCATTTTTAAAGGCGCAACAGAGACGTTAAGGAGAATCTCGAGGTCATTTGGAACTGCAAAAAGGGAGCTGACGAACTATTGACCTCATCGACAAAATTGAACCAAATGAGTACCAACAAGCAGTACTATCCGGGTGAGACTCGACGCTTTCCACTGGCAGCTCAGTCAACTCCCGAGGCTTGGGCGCAGCAGTCGCATGACATTCTTCTCGCCAGCGAACACGAGCGCATGGCCAGTCAGAATTTATGCGCCCTGACGGACAACATCTCGTCTGATATCTGTAAGGATATAACACAGCGAAAAGACATCGTCAATACGGAGTTTCAGAAGAACTTGGATAAATTGGAGTCTGATCGGGTCCGACTATCGGAACTTTTAAAAAAAGTAAGTGAAACAACTTAAGGAAGGCAGCACCACAATTTCGTGTATACTGTTTTGTTGGCTCATCCATGTTGACCCTAAACCTCTCTTAGCGTTCGGCTTTCAAATTCTATAAAGACTTACTGATACTTTTTAATGCAAGCCTTTCTTAATTTTTATGTCGTTATCGGAAGTTTCCCTGATTGTGGATGGCCTTTTTATGTATAACCAAAATCTCGGCTAGATGCAGAACAACTAAGCTAAGAGTATATCAAAGAAGCTGGAAAGTCACTTTTGTCACTTACGATAATATTATGATGATTCTCCTAAGATAATATTGTTGGAGAGAACTTCATTTCGTATGAGAGGGCATTAAGAACATATTCGTAGGTTTTATCCCACCGAATATATATATATTTTAATTTCAAATAGGATCTTAAGAGGTTCTTAATGTTGCTATAATTCTACAAGTCGCTTTTTTGATTTGAGAATCTCTTCAATAATTTGTGACATAGTCTCATGTTTTCTGATATCACTATATGTATATAAGTGTATATAGAAAGAGATAATGAGAGAGAGAGCGAAGGAGAGAAAGAGAGATATAGATAGATAGGTAAATAGAGGAAGATTTCCTGAAGCTACAAATGTCAAACAAAATGACGAAAAAGATATCGGACTAAATCAAAAAAGGCACTAGAAGAGTCTGAATAAATATGGAATCCATAGGCAGCCCAAGGTCCTACTATCGGGAAAAATGAAGATACTTTAGACTGATGGGTCTCACAGTCCAGATAAGAAATGAGGATAAAGTAGTGCATCTGTCTTCCGCCCCTCTTGATATAAAAACCACAGAAATCTTTAAGAAGAGACTACATTTTGCATTTCGAATTGAAAAGAAGACAATCAAGGATATTTTAGTGGAAGTGATAAATACCTCAGAGAAGCTACATGAAAAATCAAAAAAGAGAACTGGAAATGGAAATCATCCCAACAATCTTGGCGCATCAAGAACCCACACATAGGGATAATATAACCAAGATATATAGATAATTGAAAATAAACGATCAAGTAGTCCTACAAGCCGACAAAGGAGATGTGACAAGGGTGGTGGACAACAAGGAGTATACAGAGAAAATGGAAAATAATCTCAGAGACACTACAACGTATCGACTACTAACGAAAGACCCAACAGTTAAAATCAAAGAAGCACTATAAGAAAGGCTGAAGGAAATGAATTGTAACGGGGGAATTGTCAAATTAACTTGCTCATAAGAAAGTATACAAGAGCCCCAGTAGCATACAGTTTGCCGAAGGTACAGAAAGGAGGACCATTGAGCCTGATAATCAGCAACAAATATGGACCAACAAATAAATTGGCGAAATGTATCTGCCTCAATTTAAAGAAAATGAATGAAATATTATCGAATACAGTGAAGAACTCATACGAATTTTGCCACAGAATCAAAGACGCCAGTTTGGAAGAAAACGAATTTTTGATGAGCATTGATGTACAGTCCATATACATTAACATCACAGGAAAAAAATTACTCACCGCACTAGTGAAGAACTTTGAAAAGGAAAATGACATCCTGGAGACAGAGCGAATGCGTAGAGTCTATTACCCGATTAATCTACCTAACTTTAAGAACGACCTATTTTACGTTCAATGGCGTATCTATGAGAAAATATTTGGTGTGCCTATAAGCTCACTCCTCTCATATCTGTTGGCTAATGTCTTCATGGACAAGTTGGAGGAGAATTTTTAAATGTCACTCCAGCAGCCAACAGCAATTATGCTATATTTGGATGACTACTTCGCAATTTGGTCGCATGGAAGAGGAAAGTTAGACGATTTCCTGATA